GTTGAAACACCGGTTCCCGTATGATCACTGAAGTTAAGCCATGGTGAGACTGGTCAGTACCCAGATGGGTAACTGCTTGGAAATACTAGGTGCTGTAAGTATGGATGTGTGGGTGGTGTAGCAGATAATGACTCAGAATTGTTAATCAGTGAGCCAAGTCCTAATTTCAGTTGGATTTGTTATATTCACTTATGTGCAAATACTCTTCAGAAAGGCATAAATCCACTTCTTCTCTCCCCAGCTATGGGTTAATTAGTATTACTTGTGTCACAAAACCATTATTATCTCCAAAAATAAAATAAAAAATGCACAAAAAATGTTTAGATTTTGGCATTAAATAACCTCTAGAGGTTGATATGCTGCTAAACAAAAACAACCAACCAACAAGCTTGTTAACCATTACACCAAAGTACCCAAATTTATAAATGATATATATACCTATATCTTTTCTTAATGTATATATAAATGATGTGTGTGTGTGGACTAGATTAGGAAATATAAAAAATTTTTTAAACATAAAAAATTACTCTTAAACACAGTGAAAGTTAGGCTTGATGGTCAAGCTTAGACTTGAGGAATCTTTAGTGGATTCTGAGTTCAGAAAATTCCCTTCATTTTATTTTTTCAATATATTTCATGCTCAATATAGTGTGCTTCCTATACTTTGGTGTGAGGGTGTTCTTTTACCTTTTAAATGACATTTTTTTTTCAGTGAGATTCACCCTGTACAAGGCCAGGTGGGGTTACTTGAGGTAAAAGGTTATGTTAAGGGGTAGTTTATATAGATAGGAGGGGAAGACAATGGTTAACTTCATAGTTATCGAGTGGGGGATCCTCTTAGGAGTTGTTTCCATAGAGCAATAGTTTATGGGAAGGAGCTGTTTGAGAGGAACTTACTTCTCACTAATGGAATACAAAGGGAATGTAGATAGCTTGCTACTATGTAAAATGGCATAGTGGCTCCTAGCTGTGAAGTTTAGACCTGGTAGAACCAAGAAATGTAGTTTGTCCAAGTATTTCCCATAGAAATAGAGACAGAGCAGTGAGAGGTTCACCACATTCCATCTATGAGGGAGAGGTTGGATGGTGGGATATAATTCTTCTCCCAAAAACATACTGCCTGTTTCATTTGATTAACAGACAACAACCTTTTTCGGACAGGACTTAAAAGGGATTCAAGTAACTAGCTCACATATAAAATAGAATGAATCAAAACATTGCCTATTGTCTATAGTTATACCTGGGTACAATTACATTTCTAGGTAAGCCCACACTAAAAAAAAAAAAAAAAAAAAAAAAAAACTTCCTTTGAAAACATGAATGTTAATTTAAATGCAATAACATTATTGAATGCTACTCATTACATCATGGAAGTCATACAAATATTTTTCACTTTTTTAATCTTTATTGTCCTAGACAAAAAAAATACAAAAAAAGACTTAAGTGTTTTCACTGTGGATAGTAATAGTAATACATGCAGAAAGTGAAACTGATGAGCTTAATACAATTTATAGCCTAGCAAGTTGCATTCACTTTCCCACTAATTTTTTTTTTCTCATATTCTCTCTCATTCAGTAACTCTTTGTGCCATAGTAGCTTTATTATCTAGCTTAGGGTGAAATGATTGAAAAAAGAAAAAAATGATGATTCAATAAAGAATAGTAGTGTAATACAATTATGTTATGTCACTCCAACTTTGCATCCCCATATAAAAAGACTGTATTCACTGGTAAGGATGTTTGGTCGTAATATATTTTAAAATATCCTATTTTTTTATCTCTTTGAATGTTTTCAGATAAGGATTTATTATTATGGATGAAGAAATTTCTACTGTGGTTTTTATTTATCAAAATAAATAATTTTATTTATTAAATAATAATAAAAAAATCTTATTTACACTATTTACATGCAGATTACAGCTTCATCTTTTTTAATATAACATTTTGGTTGTTTTATGTTGATCCAGTTAACCTTTAGGGAATTCCCAAATTTCAATTTGAACACTTTTTTAATCTTTTCTCATTCCACCCATAAATTAAATAAAGGGCTGAGTTTTTATGAGTGTGTGTCTGTGTGTGTGTGTGTGTGTGTGTGTATATATATATAAAGGGTGTTTCATTAAGATGCATTATATATAAGGGTGTTTCCTTAAGACGGATTATATATAAGGGTGTTTCATTAAGACGGATTATATATAAAGGTGTTTCATTAAGATGGATCAAAGTCAGTAGTAAATAAATCAGTGTTATTGGTGAAAATTTATTTATTTCTCTATTGGATACTGTTATTTAAGTCATGGCAATTATGTATGAAAAATAATATCATCCAAATGTCTGCTAAACCTGAAAGAAAAAGAAAAAGTACATTAGTTGCTTAAACTTAATTCACATTAAAATCAGTCCAAGTTATTGAACACCCTTTTATATATATATATATATATATATATATATATATATATATATATTGTTGTGTAGGAAACCTACCACCCCTCTTGAAGATGAACTTGTCTACAAACAAAGACGTTAAATAGTGGCATGTCAAAGACAGAGAGTCGGAAGTTCTTGGCTGAGCTAGTTATAGACTACTCAAGCGATTTCTGTACCTACTTACCAACCGAGTAAACCCTTTTTTGTTACGTGTTATTTGGCGTTTGTCTTTACTAACCCCAAATCAACATCATAACATATATATATATATATATATATATATATATATATATATAAATATGAATATAAATATAAGATATTGCACATGGAGTGTTGGTGTTAATAAAATAGTGCTCAACGTAACATAACAGAGCTATTAAGTATACATTAATAAATATACATATTATCCTTCAACAGTAGCACAACTTGGAGTTTCATGCGCAATGCAATCTTCAAGTGCTATATTGTTGACATTGGCAGAACTTGTTGCTGAGTATTGGAGTGCTCATCAACATTTCCTTCTGTGTAAAATGAGTCCTATGTTGGATTTGAATAGATGCCCGCAGCCACTTCATGGTAGGGTGGGAGGGTTAAGGGGATGGAGAGCTTTGGGCTCTTTTCCTCTCTTCTATTTGTCTCCTGGTATTTTCGAAGGATGTTCTTTTTCATGGAGTTGTGGACATAATTACTAGAGGCAGTGATACATGTTTTTTATGCTGTAGTTTTCTTGAAGTTTTGCAATACAGGTTGATTTAAGAAATTTTAGGATATTATATGGATTAATGTCATGAAAGAGTTCTTTCATGTTGGTCGTTTGATTTTATTTAGTACTTTCATGTTGGTCATTTGATTTTGTTTAGTGCAAGATGAACCTCTAGGGATTATTTAATGCTGAAATCTATATATTTTGAACACAATTTTATGGCTTCAACTAAATATATTCCGAATGCAATTGTATGCCTTCAATTACAGATAAAATGTATTGTTGATCATTTTACTATAAAATGTACTGTTGGTAATTCTACTATAAAATTTATTGGTAATCATTGATATAAAAATCTATTGATGGTATTTTTACTATATATTTTTATACTTTCATAGTGTTTTGTTTTTGTTTGGGGGTTAACTATTTGCTCTTAACTGGGACCCTAACAGGTACTATGATCCCAGTTCAGGGTGGAACTGGGGAACAACAGGAATTAAGAGGTGGTTTTGCACTCCTCAAAACTTTCAATCTCCCAATAAGAGGCCTTGCTGCCGGATGCAGTTTATCATCATGCCCAGGACTACAGAGCAGGAGATGTTATAGTTTTATAATTAAGCAAGTTTATTTCTATTTTTTTTTTTGTCTGTTGTTTTTTATTCCAATGTTTTTACATCTGTACATTAATAGTTTAAGACTGTAATGACCAAGAACAATACAGATGGCACTGATTAATTTGTTTTGAGACCTTTCCTTTATAAAGTTTGTCAAGCTATCTATGATTCTAAACATTACCACAGTGTTATAGACAGACAAGCAGGTAAATAACTCTGTATTTGCTTAATGGGAGTGGAAGACTTTCTTTTTGAGGAAATATTCTGACCGCCTCAAGCTTATTAACACCACTCCATTAGTCAATTTTATACTTTTTGGCCATTCAAATGATTTTCTTCCTCCCACAATTATTAAGACCCACCCACCAGTATTAGGTACCAAAGAGTAGATATTTACTCAACCCCCCCATGAGGTCAGGTTGTGATACAAGGTCGGTTTAATGTGGGGAGCCTGAGTGCGTGCACCTGGGCAAGGAACAAAAATTCCCCAAGGCGCCGCAACTGTCGGTTGCGCTGGCCTTGGTGCAAGCATCGATCCCTCCCTCTGGTGCAATGGGAGGGTGTGGCCTCAAGCAGTTGTTCCCCATGAGGTACTAAAGAGTATCTGCTAAACTAGTTCAACATATAGAGACAGGTAATAGTATTTTTTTCTATTTACATAGACAAAAAAATATTATTTCCCCTTGATGTCTATTTGTAAATAGATCTGTATGTTTATATTATACCCCAACTATGGGTTAAATAGTAGGAATTATACCTGGAAAAAAATCATTATTATTCTCAAAAATTATTAATTTACTCCCCTCTCCCCAAAAATGAATTATTCTTACAAGCAAAAGTATTTTTCAGCTTTAACCCTTTGAACCTGAGCTGTGTGAAAGTGCATATACCTGGGTGGCTGGTTTGCATCTAGAGTCATGGACAGCAGGATTCCAAGGTGGTAGATCTATACACATCAGGGGGCAAGGGTTCAAAGGGTTAAATAACCCACAAAGGGTTGTTAAGCAGTAAAAAAGCAATCTGTCACAGCAAGAAGAAAAGATTAACCATTAAATGTAGGAAGAAAGAATGCTTAGTTATCATCAAAAGAGACAACCCAGGGTGTGAGTGGCATATTGGGGATGTCAAAATCAAGCAGATACAGAATTGTCTGAGTTGTGCAGTAACAGACAAAAGAAAATGTGATACAGAAATTCAAAGGTATATAGGAATAGTGAAAGATAAGCTTGAGACAAACAAGGTATTCTTCTTTCTATGTGTCATGTCCATGTCATTTCAGGACGTAGGCAATCATGGCTCTCCAGTTCCTTCTATCCCTTGCAGCTCTTAACATGTTCCTTCCCTCAGCCACCTTC